CATCGCACTTTATTTCATATGACGGAAGTTGAACGTGGCTATCGAAGAGATCCGAGTGGTATTTGTGAATGATTTTCTCCATTGCCTTTCTGGACGCTGTAACTGTTCCGTCTGGGCGTTGGAGTGCAATCATCTTGGTCTTGTAATTGGCGAAGGTTCCGTGGGCTTTGCGAATGCTTTTGCCAGTCTATACAGCTTCGACCATTGCTGCTGCTTTTCTCTCTTTAAAATCGTTTATCGCCTGTATGCATTGTTTTGCAAATTCGAACCTTAGTTCGCGGTTGCCCGCATCTCGTGCGATTCCACGCTGGCGTATCATTTCGAGTGTTTCTGGAGACAGACTTCTCTTGGTGAGTTTCGAACTCTCAGCTTTCATAGCGCTAACGTGAAGATGTTGAATGAGCCGATCGTATGTCGATGTTGTCAACAACGGCATTTTCCCAATAGCCGACTAATGAATTGAATAAGTCCCAGTTTACGCCGGTTCTGGGACTTCGGTTTTGAAATTTAGCGGCTTTTTCTCCTTTCCGCAAGAAATAGAATCTTGCACGAAGGAGACGGTGGTCCGATCCCGTGTAGAGTGTTGGGACAACAGTGAAATCGGTTAGACAAAACCTTCTATTTACTATGATGTTGTCTAGTTCGTTATGGTACGCTTCACTGGGAGACTCCCACGCCCAGCGTTGGGGGTGGGGCTTCTAGAATTGCGGGTTACCATGGATGGCTGTTATAATAAACTTAGAGAGCCAGTCACCCTGCTCGTTCCATTCTAATCCGTGGGTCCCAATGTGACGTTCATCTTGGTCCAATCTAGGCGTTGAAATCTCCAACGATGACCTCGAAAAATGTGTGGTCTTCTCTGTAGAACTTCCCCAAGTCCATACGGAACGCCTCGACTTCTTCCTCATAGTTTGATGTCGATGCGAAAACGACGAAAGTTGTCAAAGCTGGTATTGATCGACGTCTTTTTAATCGTAAGTGTCCGATTCGGGATGTTAGCTGTTCGAATGAATCAATGTTCATGAACGAACTCGTGTTGACGAGAACGCCGACGCCGCTGACTCCTCTACTGTCGCATGTTCCGAAGAACCGTTCTTCTCCGGTGTCATAGACGGTTTTGAATGAGTGGTATCGTCTCGTCTCGGCCAGGCCGATGACGTCGTACTCTATCCTTCCTTCTTGCATGGGCAAGTTTGCTATCGAGGACTCGGATGCAAGAGTACGTGCATTATAGGTGCAGATCGTCACCATAGTTCTTTGCAATCCAAGCATCTTCCATTGGTTCCGAGATTTTCGCAGCCTCTCCGTACTCGTCCTACCCAACGCTGCGAAATGGGGCCTCCTTCGGAGTCAGGGAAATGAGACCCGTTTCTTTCACTGCTCTAGGCTTCTTGATACCAACGTAGAGTTTACTGAGCTGTGAACGTGGGGGTGGGTATACTCATGGATAGCTTGCAGGCTCTCCCAAAGTGGACATGGAGCTTATTTATTGTAGGCGACTTTTAACCGCCTCCCATATACTTTCCTGTTATCTGGTTGCAGGTTTTTGACCGAATTGACTCATAAAATACAATCCGCAAAAGCGACAACGCACCCGCACACACATGCATGAAGACGCCTAGTAAATACAGAAAGTATGTGGCAAATCGGCGCAGTAGAAACAAGGAGTCCATCCCCATGATCTACCCGCGCCCCAGGAGAACATACGGTCGCTTTGGCCCCGCAAGTAACCCTGTATCCGCCACCTAGGGAAGCGCTAGGCAGCCTCGCGACTAACTGACTGTCGGGATCCCTCATATGAGGGAGGTCTGTGGCCGGGAATCATTAGTAGGTACAAATACCTCACTATTTTACTTGTCATCCTACACTCAGATTATTTTTTTGGTCTGAATTACTGATAATCGAACTATACCATGGCAATATACGTATGGACTTACTCTTTAAAATCTGAAAAATTGAGCTCCCTTAACAGATAGATAATTGGTCTGGTTTATAAACTCGTTTTCATTAACCCAAAATGGAAAATATGGACATTGTAGCGCCCACAGTGAGGATCCAAGTGGATGATATGGACGCGACAGTGTCTACTTTCAGTTCAGTGGGTTCTAGAAATTTTTCGCCGCACACCTCCATTCGATAGCTAAACGGAGGAAGATCGAGATTGTAGGGACTACGCCATAAAAGCCATAATATGCACTTAGTTAGTTACAAAAAACCAACCGTTGTCCCAGAAAAATTCGTTGACTGATAATTTTAAAAATTGTCACCTGATTTTAATCGCTACTGTTACTGCACGGAATGTTCGGATATAAAAATACCAAAATAGACTAAACATAAGATGTATGATAGTGGCGTATATATGATGCATACTCATAGAAAAGGTATCGCCTAAAACTCTGTAGTGTTTACAACAAGATGAACCCTCTAGTTATTGAAAAACTACTTTTTACTGTCAAAAAACGAGGTCAGAAGTCCACGGCCGAAGAAAAAAACGCTCATCTTTCAATAGGCCGGCCCTGCTAAAAGCCGCGTCTTCGTTATATGTTAAGACTTCAGAAAATTTATCAAATATTTCCACAATTTTAACTTATTATACAACCTCAATGAAGCTGAGCTATTTGCAAAACTCCGCACACCAGGTGCCTGCGGTGTGGAACGAACGCGCTATTACTCTTTTCGGGCAGTAACGCGTCCACCACCACACCATGCGGGCCCTTCGTTTCGCTTGTCTCATCATTGAAATTTATCGAACAATAAAGACACGGCCGCATAAAAATATGCTTCGGTTATTAAGGAAACAAAAATGGTAGCGAGTGTCAAAATACGTGCGAACTACCTCATGTCAGTTTGGAAAGGACAGTTGGTTAGATAACATGCACTAATTAACGCCGAAGTTAATCCGAAATCGGGGTCTCGAAATTCAAGCCCTTAAAATTTTGAATAAGGGAGAGAGTAGAGCAGTGATATTGGTGTCAATCATCACAATCATGGTGCTCGTTTGACTTCGCCTCGGCCCATCAAACCTCTCATTCCTCCGAGTTGGGAAATTGGTATGAGACTTGCCCGAGAAAAGTTCACTCTCCGCAATACAAAAAGGAACGCTTTAGCTCGGGTATCTCAGCATTCCAGTAAGAATCTGTACCACCAGAATTCATAGACGTTAACCTCGACAAAACATCCTCAAGTAGCAGTCGAACCCATACGCAAAAGTTGGTAGACCATGGATGGTGGGTGCGCGGAAACGAATCGATGCACGACCCTCAGACACACTAAGCCCTCCATCCCTCTGGAGTCGGCAACTTGGTCCCAGACTTGTCTGGGAGGATAGTAGCACTGGCTCGATACATCGGTAGGCCACCGCGAACCACTGTAAAGACCAAATATGCATTCAATCGCCTCCAACAATGCTTAATGAAATCGAATGCATGGCGCATCCATCCGGGATAGATCAACGCCGAGAGCTCTATCCGATCTGTTCACTGTTCTACCTCAACGAAGCTGAGATAATTGCAAAAGCTAGACCGCAAGCCAGATTCGAACTCGCGATAACCCTTTCCAGAAGCTCACGTGTTATGCAACACACCAGTAAGGCCTTCGTTCTGCCTTTTTCTGAGCCAGTTTTTTATCCTAACGGTGCCATCAGCGATCACTCCTCAGTGGGAATGATCTGTGAAGCACAAATTGCAGTTGAGGCTGTGGAACTGTTTGAAAAAAACTGGCAGATCGAAAGGCAAAGCAAGGGCGTCAGTAGTGGAATGGGTAACATATCAGCCCCCAGAAAAGATAATCGCGAGTTCAAATATGGCCTATGGTCTAAGTTTTGCAAATAACTCAGCATCATTGTGGTTGTATTTCACATATACTGCCGTGAAAAAATAGTGGAAAGTAAATAAAATGTTACAGACTGAAATAAAATAATTTTAAGTGCTATCAAAACATCTACAAATAGCAATGCATCTGAAGATATTGTGTCTTGAAGTGCCATTTGACCAACCGCTTCGCTGTACGAAACAGGAGACTCCACAAAAAAACGAAGTGTTCTTTTTGCTTTGCTTATAAAATACTAGTTTTTCCCTCTGGAGAATAGGAAGCGTTTCAGAAAAAAAGTGGTGTATAGCACGGATTTTTATCTGAATCGGAAGGGCCCACTATGAGCGATGTTTGACTGAAGTCGAAAGGCGCAAATATTTTCATCAATGATTAGCTACTACAATATATCGGCTCATGTTAGGATGAGAATGCTAAAACTAGTACACGCTTTATAAAAGCTTACCGTCCTTTTGAAAATGAGTATCCTTGGGGCATTGAACAAAAGCATGAGGACCCGCACAACTGCTACATGATGGAAATTGCACCTAAATATGTAGTCACGGTGAATGCAATTAAGCATAGAAAAATTATGAACTATCAATTCTCTAGGTCGGCAAGAGGTTGAAATATGAAAAAACAATAAAGGAAAAAATGTGAATGTCAATTCTTTCAAAAGTAAAAAAGAAATTTAAAACCGCTGAGATCAAGCAGTGCCTCCATGTAAACACTCATTTATTGAATTAGTGTTCTGAAGCACAAAAGTACTACCTGAAGAAATTAATTTCACTGAGACTAAATACATCATTCATAAGAAAAACACTGACATAGTCACATTAGAGGGAAAGAGAACCAGAACCAAGGAAACAAAACATGCAATAATGATTTTCGGAACAAACAAGGTTTATAAAAGAGGAATGTGATCAACAACTACCTGAGTATGAGTAATGTCTTCCTGAGTTAGGACTTCATCCTTCCGCTCCAAACTGGATTCCTGCAAAGGCAAGTGATGTGCACTAAGTGCAAGTCCACAACGTTGCAAAACCCGGACATCCAGATATAACTCTGTGGCATTTCACAGGATAACCGTTTAAGACCACGTATCTAAGCATGCAAAACTACTGCGAGTGCATGCAATGAATTTTGAACAGACTTTGAACAAAGTGGTAACTACATCGACTTTTACGGAGCCACTAGTGAAGTGACACGCCAGAAAGTAGTAAAAGAACATTCGGTATGTAGTCAAATATCACCATCACCTGGATCCCTGCATCACGAGAGCTGTACGCAAGAGCTGCTGAGGCTACGGGATAGATTACCGGAGAAGAAACTGGATGTGTGTAACGTTGAAGAGATGGAGTAGTTGGTATTGAGCGTTCTGCTACCTAAAAATAGTCTCTTCACGTAGAGGTCACTATGTGCTTGACGAAACACACCTCTAATTCTTCGGAGCTAAGTCGAGATGCGAAAAATTGCTGGTATATCACAGAACTCAACATTATTCGAGCTGGCAAATCAGAAAGAGCATTTATGTATTGTATGACGGCAGCTTGAGAACAATCCATAGAGAAGTGAGGCAATATCCGTAACGCAGATGTCCCTACAAGAAAGCAGCAGATTAGTAATAATGGGTAGGAGTATATAGAGATGATAAGTGAATGTAACAAACAGGCTTACCGACAACTGGGGTCGGTGTTGCATTTGAGTCAGTGGCAGTGGGAGATGCTGTTCAAGAGGAACATGCCGACTCTGGCTGCTCAGCATTGGCATCCTGCGCCTGCTTCATTTCACGCCGTTCCCCGCCAAACATGTCCAAAAGTCGGTGATGTAGTGTGTTAATGTCATTGCGTGTGCGCCCAACAAAAGTGCGTTCTCCATCACTCCAGATCATCTGAAGAGCAACAGCATAAACTAATACATGAAAAGCACCTGCAACTCTACCCTTAACTTACGAATAGAAATATAAGAAAGTAACAACTGTGCACTCTACCTCTACAAGAAAGTTATCAATATCGTTGACATCTAGTTGAGTAGCGCGAAACCGGCGTACGAAGGCGAAACCTCCTGCTAGAGGCGATGTGCTACAACTAGTCAATCTTAATTTTGAATCGGATACCGAAGAACGTGATGTGGTTCATTCACTCTCTCTGTGATTTGCTCTAATTTACCCCTTATTTCATCTCTGACATGTACCAAGCGTATCCGTTGGTCAACAGAGAAGGCAGGATGATGTATTGAAGCTGACACTAAAAGAATAATAATAACGGGACCTATGCATTCATATCACTTAAAGTTGATTTGGATTACATTACAGCAAAGGTAAGCAGATAATTCCAATCATGAATAACAATTACCACGTTTCCTGAGGTTAATCAACACTTCTCGACGTGCTTCATTGATGGAGAGCACCTCCAGCTGCATATCTCGAAATTCCATCAGATGATCGATTAAACGAACTAGTGCATACGCAGCTTGGCGATTAGTCGAGTTCAGCAAACAAACTACGTAATAGCTGCTTCTACCTTGAGAGCGCAGGGTATTTTACCCCTACAACAAGTACTGCATAGCAGAAACAAAGGTAGTGGAAAAGACGACTAACATCTCTGTGGCCATTGTGTTGATGAATTGAGGGCAATTTGAACGAGTTTCATGCTGTCGCATCGTTGGCGTCGATGACGCAGGACGTGCGGCGCCCTCAACGCATGCACCTAACAGGCGAAGTTCGTAGACATTCAGAAAGGAAATTAATTCACAGATTGTTTCGACACGATCCCAAGACGACATCTGCACAGTAGTTAATGCTTTAAGCCGTTAAAAAACAGGCAAACACATATCAATAAAACACGAATTTTGTCAACCATGTAAAGAATCGGGGCAAGCAATACAATGTTTGGGAAAAGATTCTGGACGGAATTTTGATAGGGATTTTGATAGATATAGGAGTACTCTTATTACTAATAGTCCCTTTGAATAATAGACGCAAAATACATCCTTAACTCGATGGAAGTGAACTTACAGATAGCACATTGAGTAAGCCATCACCGTTACCACTGGCTAACTCTG